GCAACGTTCCTTGCGTCACATTGATTGTTTGCCTGTTGAGCTCTTTAATGCCCACTTTGGTGAATGCTTACGTTGGTCCCCTACTGGCCATAATGCATGACTGTGTAGGGATCGGGGTGGTGACTCACTATATCAACTCCTAGCGTGTCACACTACATCAACTCCCAGTGTGTCGGTAAGAGAATAGCTGCCGACTTTGGCACAGTACATGTAGGCAAAGGGAATGCTTTGATTGGTGTTGGTCTTCCGTAGGCAACGGGATGGGAGGTTCAAGTGCAAGGCAAATCCTCAGCAGGGCGATCCCTGATATGGGTGGGGAATCAGCCTTGACTGAGCAAAGGAAAATCTGCATGTGCATTGTTGTATTCTAAGAACAGCAACAGCAACAATGTCGACGATGACGACAACCCCCACCCCCACCCCCACCCCCACCCCCAGAACAACAGCAACAGCAACAACAACAACAACAACGTCTGCCCCGGTCCACTTTACCATTTGGTTGAGTGTTTGCCTCCAGATATGCAGGTCACGTGTTCGATCCTTGGACAGTGCGGACTTGTAAAAATGTATTAGAACCACTCGATTGACCTTGCAGTGGCTTGGGCATGATCGGGTGCTGCCATTAGCTTCGGCTGGTGTGCATATTTGTCTTCATTGTGTGCTGGCTATGTCTACTTCGATTGTGCATGTGTGTGACCGGTTACACCGGATCACGGGGAAAAACGAGTACCCGCGTTGGGGTGGGGTTAAGTGCTCATCTTGGGGCTTAACTTTCACCCCGGTCGACTTTACCCTTTGGTTGAGTGTTTGCCTCCAGATATGGAGGCCACGTGTTCGATCCTTGGACAGTGCGGACTTATAAAAATGTATTTTCAATTTTTCAAACAACAACAACAGCAAAAACAACAACAACAACGACAACAACAATATAATCAGTGGAGTAGGAGGTGGGAGAGGAGGAGGAGCAGCAAGTAGAAGAGAAGTAGATGGCTCTTGAAGGCCCTGCAGGGCTGTTTTATTTGGTGCATACTAGCTGTTCCGAAATGCATCTGTCTATTTTTGCACTCACTATCATTTCTCATCTGCTTGTTTAATGTTTTGAAGGTCGTGTTTTTTTTTTAACTGACAATGTCGATTTTTCACAGGGTCATATGGAAATAGCGTGTTAGTCTGGACATGTACTACTACTAAGTTTGTGCGAGGGCAGTCCTCTATTGATGGATTGGGGAGTACAGCAAGTGGTATGGCCGTCACCTCCTTCCGTGTAAGGAGGTGCTCCTGTCATCGAGCCTTGGGGGCCTGCCTGCTCTCCTCCTGTGCTCTCTCCGTGACACACACATAATGTTTAATGGTCGACCGGGTGGATGGTTATGATCCGGCGAGACCTTATCTATACTTGCTTTCTTCATCTCTCAGGTGGAGTTGCATAAATCATGTATATATTGCCCCCCAAAATATTGTATGAAATACTGTGAATGTAAATGATTTCTCTAATGAAAGTCTTCATTAGCATCGTCTTGTCTGGGTCCTATGGCCGCAAAGCCTTTATCACCTTTTGTTGTTTGGTATGATTCATTTCTGAAGCGCTAACTGTTGCTGTTTTCGGCTTCTCTGCTGCTTGGTTGCACCTGGGTGAGCTTTCAAAATCTGCAGTCTGTTGCTCCACATTAGGCTCTGTGGTGAGGTCTCATTTTTCACTCCATGGGCACTTTTCTCATCTTGTCTGTCTTTTTGGTCTCCTTTGCCTCCTGCCCCTGCTGTACCTGCATAAATTGGTTGCTTCTGTCTCTGATGGTGTCCTATTCGCTGCGCCTCTCTTAGCCCTCTGTGTCCTCTCATCGTTTTTTTTTGTTTGTTTTTCTTTCTTTGAAGTCTTTCCTCTTTGCTCTTTTCTCCCCTGTCCCACCCCCTCCCCCTCCAACCACCACCAGCACGGTCAGCACCATGAAAGGGTGATGATCGTCGTCGTGCTTATTGTTTACAACAGGGTTCTAACGCATGTCTCGCTGGTTGGTTAACAGTTTCAGGTATGTACGATTAGGCGAACAGCCAGGTATTCCACGTAATTCCCTTTTGTGTCGTTCGGCGTTGTCCCTGCACCGCCTATACCAGGGTTTTGTTCTTTTGCAGACCTTTCCCTGTATGTTTTTTATGAAATCCTGTTGGGCTTTCACAGCCCTGTGGCGAAAGTGAATCTTTCTTTATTTGGTAGGAATGATGTATATAGCTTGAGAGGTATACCTTGTGACGGATCTTAACGGAGTTTGTATTGGTTTGTCCTCGTGCGTGTGGTTTGTTTGTTACGACTGGCATTTCCCCCCGCTGATCTGGTTCAGCCCGCGACTGAGAAACAACATCAGATCATGATGCACACTGCAAAGTTTGTTTCGAATCCTGTCACTGGAGGCCAGGCAGAAATTGTTCTCCGTGTGAAGCATGCGGACAACCCAAATTTTGGCTTCCTTCTGCCCAATCATCATCTGCATCCTTATTTCCGGTATCTTGTGGAGATCGAAAAGGGAGGGATAAATCCGGAGAAGCGTCCTGCACGAGATCGTGCTCAGAGTAGTGTGGTGGCAGCTCAGAGCAGAGGTTCCGGAAGAGGTGGCGGATCTGCCATGTCTCTTTTAGGAGCCACTTATGGTGAGGATGAAGATGAGGATAGTGATACCAGCTCAGCAAGTGAGGAAGAGCATATGGAGCTGCAGCATACCGAAGTTGGATTGTCGGTAGGTAAAGAGATAAAGGAAAACTCAATGGATGATTATGGTATAGAGAGAAGCCATGGGGGTAACATGGAGGAAGAGGAGCAAGAGCGAAAGGGCAGGAAGGAGGGAGAGGAAATAAGTGTGAGGGGGGAAGAGGCGAAGGCGGCGGGGAAGATGGAGGGGGGTGAGTTGGATGACAAGTTGGAGGCGAAGGGTGATGACAGAAGAAACATTTGCAACAGACTGGCAAAAGTGACTGAGGAGGGCGGGAATCAACACAAAGGAAGAGAGAGAAAGCACTACGAGCTGGAGCAGCTAGAAGGACTGGCAGACAAGGAGAGAGTGGAGGCAGAGAGGAGGCTATCTGAAGTGAAGGCGAGGTGTACAGATGCACGAGGCCAGGATATGGGAAGCGAGGAAGAAAGAGGGATGGTTAGAGAGAATGCAGCAGCTATATATCCCAAGGATGAGGTTAGGGCAGGAAGCGTGCCAGTAGCTGGGAAAGTGGTTGAAGCGAGCATCACATTAAGACATGCACCAGATCTTGTTTCAAAGCGAACTGGAGCACACCAAGAAAGGCGGACTGAAGTGGTGGCGCAAGGGAAAGACGGGGGTGTTAGTCCTACGTGCTCAGTTGTTGTCAGAGGAGCAGGTGCGGAACACAGGACGGTCGCTGTTGAAGCGTCACATAGTGGTGGTGCAGAGGCAAGCGGGGAGAGAGGTGGAGAGGGAAACAGTCGTCTCACAAACGAAGCTGCTGTATCTACTGTATCTCTTGCTGATGGCGCACACGTGGGCAGTTCAGCTAATAAGGCAAATGGTTGCGACGTAGTTCCCCTGAAGCCTCATCTGGTCGAGAGGAGCAGTAAGTCAGCAGGGTCTCGTGCTGCAGCTCACGAGTCGACCATGGCTGGTGCGGAGTGTGTGGCAGACGTGGTGACCCAGGAAGAGGCTGGTGTTGAACGGGACGAACCTTATCTTGCTGTCATTCCACCACCTGAACTCGTGCGTCGAATCATAGAGAAGATGGTGGAGTACATCGCACGCAATGGGAAGGAGTTTGAGGCGATCATCCGTGATCGAGATCGAGAAGATGGACGCTTTCCCTTCCTTGTCCAGGGGAATGAGTATCATGGGTTCTACTTGGACAGGCTCAACACAATGTTGCAGGTATGAGACAGATTTGCGTCAGTAGCACTTCCTCTCTTCTTTCTCCTCCTTTTTAAATAAGCTGTTCTGTCAGTGCAGGCCTGTGAGAAATTTGCAACCTTCCTCTGTTCTGGTGCTACTCAAGAAAAGTCCATTTGTTTATGTGCGCCCTAGAAACCCCCCCTGGGATATTGATTCATGTCCAGTCTGCTGCTGGGGGAAACACACCGGTCTTGCGTTTTCATTTCTTGCTTCTTTCATCCTTTGTGAGCGCACCCCAGAGTGCATGATGCATAGCAAAATCACTGTGTTCGACCTTTCCTCAGCAGGTTTGCTATATGTCTTTTCAGCAGAAATAATTGGTTTCACATTTTCAGCTGGCATGAGGGGTGCTTTTTTTTGTTATAATCAGTCTTTTGTTGCAGGGAACGATCTCTATGCCCCCTCAGCTTTATTTGTCTGTTCCTGCTTCTGCTTAATTGATGCCGATGCTGACTCCACGTGTAAAAGATGCGCCATGTACGTTTTCACGGCTATCTTTGTGGACGCTTCCTCGTACAGTGGAGGAGGTTGTCCCCGTGTAGTTTCTTTGGCTCTTTTTGCTTTCCGTTCTACGGAACTCCTACCTCTTGAGTAGGTATACGCTCTCCACTGAACTCTGTTTTTTGACTCTGTTTTTGTTTCTTTATTCTGTGTCGTCTTCCTCTGTTTTTTCCTTGGCCGTTCTTCTCGACACCTTTTGCGCCTCTGTTTATGAGCGCATTTCCGTCTCTACTACGTCAGCATCTGGGCTGTTGTCCTGCTCCAGCCTCCATCCCTCCTCGTGTCTATGTCCTGTTTGGTTCATGCTGCCCCAGTACGCCCTGCACTGTCGTCTCTTGTTGTTTTGGGCTTGTCCATTCCTCTGGGCTGTTCATTGTTTCCAGATGTCGTCATGGGCCCTTCTCGTTGTCCGGAGAAGTCTGGGCTTCCCAAATGCTTGCGCAGCTGGTGGCTTATCTAGTTGCACTTTTTTGCTTTTGGCGCATCCCATGACACCCCTTCCCCTGTGGCAGGGCTGCAAGGCAACCCATGCTATCAGCTTGGGAGTCGCCTTGTCAGGCTGCTGCACTTGCACTGTTTCTGTTGTGATATGACACCTTCTCTGTTCATTGGTGGCGACTCGTGAGTCTGGATTACTATGAAGGAAATGGATAAAGTTACGTCTGGATGGGTTGGGTGGTGGGTACATCTGTCCAATTCTAACGATACTTTATGTACCTGTATGCATTGGGTATTGGGTACATTTGTATGCATAGTGCGACGTACGCGAGGATGTGTGCGCATACATGCGTACTATGCATAAGACTTCTCCAGTAAAGAGAGATTTACTTTCAAAGTAGGATAGGTTTTGAGAATGGCCCTCAATTTGTCAAGAAAAAGAAAGCAAGGCACGTGCATATATAGGTAAAAACAAAATGTATCCATGTGGCCGTCTCGCAAGCAATTCCCATGGGCTATGAATTTAATGAGTGAATGCAAAGAAATTGATGACCCCCCCAAGAAGCGGTTGAGCATGAAGTTCAGTTCGATGCAATGCGAAGCCTAAGCCAATGTCATCCGCGTTGCAAGCAATGTTGGCTTTAAAAAAAACATCCAACTCACCCATTTCTGACCAACTGGATGGGGGTCGAGTGGGTGGGACAGAGCAGGAACTGTGGAATTGTTGAGTTTGAGTTTCCAACAGTGGGGATGGGCTTGAGAGTCCCTGGTGAAAAATCACAAAGGGGGAGAGGGGGTAAGCTCTGGACGAAACAGTAGAACTTACGAGAGGTCTTTCTCTCTACCCCCTCCTCCCATGATGCTACTACAATTTAACTTGAGTTTGGGTGTTTAGAGTGTTGGAGGGTAAACAGGGATGCGCACTGAGACTGGAAGTTCGTCTTCACTCCGCAGAAAAAGTATGAGCATCGCTCGAAGGCAGGCTTTTCTTGCTGTGTTCTGCTGTTATGCCGCAACGTGGCCCTATGGCGGTACGTGAATGCAGTTGGTTGTCAGAAATGAACGGGCACCGGGATTCCGGTCTGATTCGAGGGTGACCTGGAGTGTATGAGCAGCAGCGTCAAGGGGGACACTCAGAATGCAATTACCTCAATGGAACAACAATGGTAAGTTGGAAGGTGAGTGCTTTGATTGCTCTCTCCTGTTGCTCAAAGAACAGAGTGTCATCGCTATGCCTGCAAGGACAGTAGTGGGAATAGGGTGGTGTTGTGGTGGCGTAAACCGGGGATATCACTTCGAAACCCTATTACCCTAGTCGCTGCATTGCATTCCGCAGACGTTTGACCTGACCGTTCTCTCGCTTGCAGATTGGCGACGTCATATGGTAATATACAAAGAAGGACATTGAGCAAAAAGAAGGGTGTTCTGCTTCTTGACTCTTGTTCTTTCCAGTCTGCTTTTGAGATATGAATGCGTAAAAGTACAGCCGGGTGCTGGATTTCAAATGCATACAAGTAAAGAGGCAGAGGATAAGTAAGGCTTCCGACCTCAGAGCCCTGACATCTTGAACTGGTATGAAGGCATGTCTAGCAGACAGAGGGCGGTGTGGGGCACCAAGCGCATGTGTGCTTCTGGTGTGCCTTGACTCGTTGAACAGCGGGTTATTGATAAGACTTGTTGCGAGCGAAAATCTGGGAAGAATTTGTATAGGACTGTCCTTTGGTCGCACATCCCTGCGAGTCTCTTGTCTTGTTGACCATTCAGCTGTGCTTCGTTTACTCTTTTTTGGCGTTAATCCATTTTCATTAGGCGGTTCATGTCCCACGCGTCAAAGTCCATCCTTGGGTTTTGTAATTCTTCACTTCGCCACTTGCAAAGGCTTTCAAACGTACAAGACCATGAACATCTATCTATTTTGTATATAATTATAACAAAGGAAGTTCTGTTACTTGTCGTCACCTGTTCTAGCCTGGAGCATACAATGCTGAAGTGACCGGGGTATCCCATCCCCGCTTGGATCGTGCTGTTCCGGTACTGACTGTTTGCATTGTTCGCTTGTCTCGTGCGGAACACACACTCCTATTCATGCACTCCTAATTAACCTTCTCTTGCATGGTATAATGGTTGCTCTATCCTTGTGGTCGTGCAGCTGAAGGCCAAACAAGCAGCAGCAGCTTCTGCGGGTTCTCACGGTGCGCAGGAAAGCAAGAATGCGGGAGAGGATGGAGACGATAATCAAGCACCCCCAAACTTGTCGGCAGACTCAAAAGGAAATGAAAATTCTGACCACACCGAGTTGCAAATCGCAACATATGTGGCTGCGTCTGATGTGGCAGAAGTGCAGGGTCCGGGTTGGGGAGACGAGCAAGAGTCCGCTGATCAATGCCGAGGAGGTGCTCCTGAAGGACATCAGCCAGCACCTGCCTCAGAGTGTGTAGGTGGTTTGTGGGAGCACGTGCCCCAAGAAGAGGACAAGAAGGCGGATGAAGAGGAGACAGAGCAGCAAGAGAAAGCTGCTCTCGAACTTCCGGATGAGCTAAATGAACCTCAGGTGGACACCGAGGAAGGAGACTTGAAGGGGGCTGGGCATTCTCCGGGACCAATACATTCAGTTCGAGAACCACGTTCTGACAGCGAGCCCTCTGAGGGTCTCAGCCCCGAAGCTGCAGCTGCTGCAGTGGCAGCGGTGACTCGGCGAGGGAGAGGACGGGTGAGGGATATCTTCTCTGACTTTGGCCTCGTCTCTGAACGTGGGTTCAGCCATTGGGGTATTTCTGGGGATATGCATGATTCGACCCCAGAAGATGCTGTCCCTCTTCTCAACAATGAGAAGGTGGGTCTTTTCCAACAGACAGATGCGATTGCTGTCAGTTCTCCTCTTTTGAAAGGCGGACAGGAACCCGATCTTCCAGAGAGTGGGGCAGTGGGTATCGATCAGTGCCAGCGGAGGAGGGACTCCTCCGTCTCTCTGGATACATTGATTAGCAAGAAAGTGGAGAAGTGTCCTTCGACCAGTATGATGGAGGAGAGAGGGAAGAGGCCGGGGCTTACCGTAGAGTCGGTGACTTCCGTCGTTTTTGCAGCTCTTTCCAGGGGGAATGATGCAGACATTGCAGATAAAGCCAAAGTGAAAGCCAAGGAGGATCTCACATCTGGAGGGCTAGAAAGGGGAAAAGATGCAGAGAAAGGCCAAACTGGAATTAGAGATTCTGAGATGGGTGAAGAAGGGTGCATTCCTGATGGCAGGGTTGTGGTGAGTTGCCTTCAAACTCCTCAAAGTCTAACCTGGGAATCGGACACTCACCCTGCAGAGCCCACGAAAGGGAATGATGGGGTGTGGACCTTTGCGCAGGGGGAGAAGGAAGATGAGGGAGGACTAAGCGCCGACGAGGTTGCAGCTCTGGTATCGGCAGTGACGGGTAGAAACAGAAAAAGGACAGCGTTCATGAGAGACGACAGCCCGAAGAAGCTGAACGTCCTCTTTCCTATTGACTCCAGCGATGGTGTCGGGACTGGCAACAGCATGTTCTCTAGGCGACGTGGTAATCGAACTTCCCATGACAATGTTCGAGATTCTGTTGCTGTCCGTGGGGTTTCTGATGGGGCCAGCCCAAGTACGAGCACCAAAGTGCCAGAAATTGGGCATGACGTTCCCGGAATTTCTGTCATGGAATGCGTGAAAAAGGCGGAAAGAACGGCGGCGCTTGCAGGGGAAGAGTTCACAACTGTGCTGCCCCAGTCGAGTGGGAGTTTGAAGGAACAAACCCTGCTTGCGGAATGGGAGAAAGACGAAGCAACGAGAGCGTCGGAGGGGCTATCTAGAATCTCTGAGAAGGAGAAGAGCTTGGAGCCTTCGCCGCTATCTCAACATTGTGAACAGCAGGATGACAAGCAGGCACATAGCGATCAAGTGGATGCCGAAATGGAGGATATGGAAAGTGGGTCTATGAAGTCGAGTGAGAGGGAAACGACTCCGCTGTCTGCAGGGGAAATACCGGTGGCTGCAAAGCAAAGGGCAGGGGGGTCAGGATCCAAGGCCGGGATCGATGCTGGGGAGGAGCTTCCTTGTGTAAGCTTTTTGCCTGTGTCTGCAGCTGAGCTTGCAACAGCAAGCCCGACCGGACATAGATCGACGACTGCAGAAACGTCTGCTGAAGTACCTAGGGCATGTACTCCCTCAGCGTCAGACTCGGCTTGCCCCGAAGGGACCTCATCATTTCCGCAATGGAGCAATATCTGGGCTGTGGAGCTTAAGAGTACTACTGAGGATGTGCCTGAGAGGAAAGATAGAGGAACACTGCATGCAGATGATATAATTTCCTCCGTGATGAGCTCACTGCGGGTCCAGGTTCTGCGAAAGGTTTGTGCAGAAGCTGATGTCGATCAATGCAATGCACAGGCCATCGGACAGTTGTCTGGTGTGGAAGGGTCATTATCGGCAAGCCATCAGGATAGTGACTCTGAATTGCAGCGGGAGATGAATTTGGAAGGCAGCGAGGAGGCAAAAGATGGCAGCGTGGAGAGGTCTAGTAGGTCTCTGATGGAGGAAGCCACGGCCAAGGAAGCGAGACTGGGTGACGATTTGAGTGGCCCTAAGGATGAGGGAACGTCGGAAATGTTGAAGGGCACGGTTATGGCTCAAACTGCATCAGAGAGGGGGAGTCAAGGTGGTCTTGATAGCAGCAGTCCGGTTGAGCAGAGGGCGGCATCCGGCGTGGTGCTTGAGGGCCCTGTTCATTCTGCTGATGGGTCGAGGGAACCTTCTTTTGGCAGGGTGCCAGTGGCCCGTGGGATTTCTCCTGCCTCGGTTGGCCAAGCCAATACCAGACCGTTCGATGTACTTGATCATGATCCATCTGACACATCAAGAGGGAAAGTAGTTTCGGCTAGAGCAGCACATGCTAGTCCCGAACCCAGCCCCCCCGAGGGGTCTCTTGGCAGGGTGCCTGTGGCCCTTGTGATTTCTCCTGTCTCGATTGACCCAGCCAATACCAGAATGTCAGGATTGACAGGAAGTGAAGATGCTCTTGGTCATCTTCCATGTTGTACATCAAGAGGGAAAGCTTTGGCACCTGTTAGCCCTGGACCCAGTCCTAAGGTGTTCCTTGGCGGGGTGCCCGTAGCCCGCGAGATTTCCCCTGCGTCAATTGGCCAAGCCAATACTGGAATGTCGTCAGGAGGTGATGATGCCCGTGATCTTGTTCTATCTGATACCTCAATAGGGAAAGCTTTAGCTGAAGGAGCACATGCTAGCCCTGCACCCATTCCTAAGGCGTTTATCATGCTTGCCACAGCAAAAGCAAGGGAGGCTGCGGTTGCTGTGGCAGGGGAAGCGGACTCAGCCGATGTGGGCATGTCTGCGCAGGAGAAGCGAAAAGCGGAGAGGCTGAAACGTGCTAAGGCCTTTGCTGCGATGTTGAAGAGTGGGCTTGAAAAGGCTGCTGCTGCTAGTGCAGAGCAGGACAACTCCGCCGGACTGGCCAGTAATGTCCTTCAATCATCAGAGAAGCATGGAGTTGGAGACTCTCAGGTAGCAGGAAGCGGAGTGACCCCTCTATCAAGGGCGGGTGATCAGCGAGATACAAGTCGCTCGTGTTCCAGGATCGAAAATCCGGCGGAGAGGGTTTCAAGTGAGAGGGCAACGGCGAGTGCAGAGAGAGATTTGCTGGCGTTAGAGGAGGTACAGAAGGCGAAGAGTGACCGCTCAAGATCACCGGGAAGGAGAGAGGAGTTTTGCTCTTCGCCGGAGCAGTGCTATCGCAATTTGCCGTCAGATGAGGGTCACGAAGCAGGAGTTGAGAGGGACACTGCAGGTGCACAGTGGCGCGAAGGAAGCTCGACGCGAGACGAGATAAAGAAAAATGAGATACAGAGGGCACCGGACCGGGGACGAACCAAAGAAAATGTTATAGAGGCTGGTCTGGTCACAGCAACAGGGAACGAGCTGCAGAAGGACCTACGGATACAGGAGGAGGAAGAAAGAAGATCAGTGGCTGAGGCAGCCAAGGAAGTGAGAAGGAAGAGTTTGCATGATGAGGGAGTGAAATTGAGGGATCAGCAGACCGGAACGGCGAAGGACGTCGAGCGAGAGGGGAAGAGGGAACAAGATAAGCAAAAGGAGAAGGCAAATGGAATAGACGTGGCACGAGAAGAGCATGACAGGGAACGGGAGGAGGGCATCCGACAAAAGGGGAGGAGGGAACACGATAAGCAAAAGGAGGAGGTGAAGGGAAAAGATGTGGCACGAGAAGAGGATGACAGTCAACGAGAGGACGACATCCGAGAAAAGGGGAAGAGGGAACACAATAAGCAAAAGGAGGAGGTAAAGGGAAAATATGTGGCGCGAGAAGAGGATGACAGGGCATGGGAGAGGAGAAAGAAGAGGGAAAGAAGGGAAGACCTAGCAAGATCTCCTGGCCGGAAAAGAAGCCGTCATCAACGCAGGGGAGATGACTCCGGTAGTGATCACACGCTTGATATAGAAAGGCGACGGCGGCACAAGGATAGGAAGAGGGAAGCTGAAAAACAACCATTTTCAGATGAATCTGAAGATGATGATGTTTCCGTTGGTAGGGATGGGTGGCATCGGCACAAGGATAGGAAGAAGTATTCCACTGATGATATTTCGTTAGATAGAGATACGAGGCATCGGCACAAAGATAGGATGAGGGACAGTAGACACCACCCCTCTGGACAAGGAGTCAGGCTGAAAGCTTCAGTTGAGAAAGAGAGAGGCAAGCGAAGTGGCAGCAAGCTGGAAGGTCGTCGCTAGAGCAGTGGCAGCTGGGAGTCGGATTACGGCTGGAGGAAAAGGAAGCTGCATGTTTGCAATTCTTGACGACAGAATGTGCATTGTTCATGACCGTGCCTACATCCTGATTCCATTCGCAGAGAAATCCTGCTGACTGTTTTATTGTTTGCGGATTTTGTGTCCTTTATGACAACAATGTTCTCCATGCGTTCTATTGCCAGCAATTGCCAGCCACACGGGAGAGGTGCGCAATCTTCCAGAGAGGCAGCCGGCTTCTGACGACAGTGCTAGCGAAGCAGAGCAGTGTTCTGGGCTGCAGGCGTGACAGCAGTTGTCTGAAGGGTTTTTCTTTGTTAGTGGCTTTTAATTAACATCTCTGCAAAACTGCGCTTCCAGTTTGTTAATTCTGATGCTACTTGGCTTCTCCTAAGGCTTCCAGCAGAAGTAAACTTTTTCTCGGCAGGTAGGCGGCCTCTAGCAGTACGAGCGTTCAAGGGAGGCGGCTGTCAATGGGAAGACGATCCACGAGGCTGTGTTTCAGAACCTCTGAATCCAGGAGCGGACGACTTTCCTCTTCTTGTGCCCAAAGAAGGGGAAAGAATAAGGTGATTGTGAAATCTTTGTCTGGACCCTCGCTGTACCTACCGTCTTGAAGTTCACCCAAATAGAACGCCCGGTCATTATCGCTGCATCTGGACAGAAAATGGCACAAAATGCGGCTATAATGATTGGGCTTTATATTCGGGTGAAGACGGTAGGTCTGCAGGCATTGTTGACTTCTGTCTTCAACCATTGCCAGTTTTGCTGCCATTTACCCCTACCGGGCAATGAGGGGTTGTGGATTCCAACATCAATCCGGCTGTGTTGCACTGGCGCTGGCTCGTGGATCGGCTTTTGTCAGAGGGAGAGTGATTACTGCCTCTTGCCTGGCATCCTCCGTTGCGTTAGATGCAATGTTCAGAAAGAGATTGGTTTGTCGCCGTGATTAATTTCGGTAGGGGATTTTGTTTTTGCCAGCCTCAGGATGTTGGCCTGGTTGGTTGCACTGAAGCCAGATAGTCCACTGGTTTTCAGCAAGGGAAGAGTGGTGATTGCCTCTTGCCCTTCATGATTTGTTGCATAAGATGCCTGCTGCCTGCGATTGGCCGACCATGGGATTTTTACTCTCTTTGTAGACAAGAAGTTCCAGTTGATTGTTTTTTATTTGCTGGTGCTGTAAGTAGCGACTCGAGAGTGTAACATCGACAACGACGACAAGTCAATTCATGTGACAGCGACTTTCTTGCTTGACGCTGTGTCTGAGGCATCCAGCTATGGACTGGGTACGGCGACAATTTCGCGTAAGTCGGTATCCGTTTTGTAGTGTGTAACGGGATTCTTCTGAACTGATCAGTTCTCCGAATCTCCGCGCTTGTTCTCTTCCATTGCCGGATGGTCCCCCTCCCTCTGATTGCCTACAAGTTGAGCAGTCTTCCTGTCTCTCACCCCTACTCCGCACCCACACCCACATCCACACCCACACCCACACCCACACCCACACCC